CCTGCTGTGTAGCTTTCTGATGGCTTTTTAATGGATGGTTTCATGAGCACTCACCTGGTTGGGAAATACACTGGAAAAATCCTTTTACACTTCACATTCAGGACCTGTAGCTGTGACAAACTCCTTATGAGAGCAGCACAGCTTTGTGGATGCTGAAGTTGGCTGCGGCAGGTAAATGGTTTTCCTGAGCTGGGCATTGGTTTTGGAAATGAAGCAACTTGGGAAGTTGGGGGTTGAACAAGCTGATAGAGTAACAAAAATGGGGAAGTGGCTGCCTTCATGTGTGAAAAAACAACTCAAGCTGATCTGTGAAGGACAGAGGTGTAAATTCACAGCTTCAGCAAGGTAAGGACGTATCATACATCACAATAAAGGAAGGCTGTCATTAGGGAGCACCTCTGTGGCTTGGTTGGCCTGTCTGGAACATCATTCTGCTTTTTTCCCTCTTGATGCAGGTGACTGAACAGTGGAAACAATCTATCTGAGTTTCCAGGGGCTAAAGCTGACAGGTCTCTGCAGGGGAGAGGAGGATCCCAACTCCCGTTGGCGCAGTGGACTGCCATGGACGTGGCTCGGGTCCAGGCTGAGGACAGACCTCACACTGCCATTGCTGGATTTCTTGCATGCAAATGAAAGAAATGTTGACTTTCTGGGCTAGGGCCAGGTCTTGGCTGAGGAAAGGAGTGGTTATTGGTGTGTGACAAGGGCAGGAGCTGGTTTGGAGGGGTCTGGAGGAAGCTGAGCTTCCTTTTGTCCAGCTGCTGCCTGCCTGCCTTTTTAAATGAGAAGTGACAAGAGCAGCTGCTGAAATTGCCCTGTTTTGGTGGGCTGCCTGCTCTGTACTGGAAAGCACCTTTTGCCTTGACAGTGGAGAAAATATTCGTGCAAGAAATATGACATTTAAATGTGCAAATATTCCCAGCTGTTCCTTTGAAACCCTTGTTAATGCACAGGTCACTTTGTGTTAAGATTGCTTTCCCCTCCACGCTTTCACCCCTCTGTTTGGCCAGTGGTCTTTTGGGTGTTTAATTGGGCCTGTTGTCTGGCTGTTGTTCATGGTGAAAGGAAGGAATATTGGTGTGGAATACTGAGCTATGAAATGGCTCAGTAACTCAAATCATCGTTCCTTTAAGTTCCTTGGGACATGTAAAACTCAGAAGTGGTTTTATCTCAGGACTGTTTGGAGACCATTTGTACTTACCTGCCCTCAGTTTGTGGTCAGTTCTGTGCTGTCCCTATGTTGCGCACAGCTCTGTTTTCCATCAGCTGTCACAGCTCACACAGCGTCATTGACTTTGGAACTTATTTTTCCACAAAATACAGCCTTTCCCATAGATGGATCATGACAGAATACGATGTGAACTCATCGTATTTAGGGATTTATGGCTGTGCTGTGTCTTGACATGTATGTACACGTTTGTAAATAAAAGGATGTTCCAATTCCAGGCCTGGTTGTCCCTACAGTGGCTGCTCCCAGCTGGCCACAGCAGTCAGGTAGCCATGGGCAAATGCAGGGGAGGAAAGAAGGTTTGGGGGGGAGCAAAGGTGGTTTATTGGGGGGTAAGTTAGGTGGGGAGGAAAGAATGGCTTAAGGGGAAGGTATTGCGTGGGGAGGAGTGTGCCCAGCTGGTTATGGGGTTGATCCTTCCCCTCCACTCAGCCCTGGTGTGACCACATCTGGAGTGCTGTGTCTAGTTCTGGTCTTCACAGTTCAAGAAAGACAGGGAGCTACGGGAGAGGGTCCAGCAGAGATCACGAAGGTGATAAGGGGTCTGGAGCATCTCTCCTGTGCCTGTTCAGTCTAGAGAAGAGAAGACTGAGGGGATTTCATTAATCCACACAAGTATCTCCAAGGTGGTTGTCAAGAGGTTCGTGCCAGGCTTTTTAGTGGTGCCCAGTGGACAGAACAAGGAGTAGAGCTAAACCACAAGGAGTTCCACCTCAATGTAAGGAAGAATCACAGAGTATTCTGAGTTGGAAGGGATCCACAAGGATCATCCAAGTCCAACTCCTGGCCTTGCACAGGGCAGCCCTGAGAATCCCGTCATGTGCCTGAGAGTGTTCTCTAAACACTCCTTGAGTCCTGTCAGGGTTGGAGCCATGACCACTGCCCTAGGGAGCTGTTCCAGTGCCTAACCACCCAAATCTGGGGGAATAATATCCAGGCTGGATGTTAGGAATAATTTCCTAATATCCAGCCTAAACCTCCTCTGACACAGCTCCATGTTGTTTCCTTGGGTCTTGTTAGTGGTCACAGAAGGCAGAGATAAGTGCCTGGCCCTCGTGAAGAAGTCATGTGCAAAGTTGTATATGAGGTTTTCCATCAGTCTCTTCTCCAGAACTTCTTCCCATGGAGGGCAGCAGAGCACTGCCACAGGCTTCCTGTCTGGAGATACTGAAAACGCAGTGGTACGTGTCCCTGTGCCACCTGCCTTAGCTGAGCCTGCCTTGGCGGGGGGGCTGAACTTGATGTTATCCATCCATCCATCCATCCATCCATCCATCCATCCCTCCCTTCACAAACCACTCTGTGATTCAGTGAGAAAGTTGATTCAGTGAGGTTGGAGTCAGGTGGGGGTTGGTCTCCCAGGCAACCAGCAGGACAAGAGGGCACAGACTCAAGCTCTGCCAGGGAAGGTTTAGGTTGGATATCAGGAAGAGATCTTTTTACCCAGAGAGTGATCAGGCATTGGAATGTGCTGCCCGAGGAAGTGGTGGATTCACCATGCACCTCTGGAGGCTTTCAAGATGAGACTGGAGATGACACTTAGTGCCATGGTCTAGCAACGATGGTACGGTTGGCCTCGATGATCTTTGAGGTCTCTCCCAACCCGGCTGATTCTATGATTCAACAAAGGGGATCCGAAGCGTCACAAAGCTAAGCTAGCCGCCCGCTCCAGGCTGCTCCTGCCCCGGAACCGGCGGTGATGTAGCGGAAGGGGCGAGCGCTGAGCCACAGCCGCGGGGGAGGC